AAGGAGCCCAAAGTCACGGCTGCGAAGATGCAGATCAATGCAATGGTCTTCATCTTTCCTGTCATATTTCAGATCAGAGATCAGATAGCACGAGGAGTCGGGTGTGATTGAGGACAAAACGACGAGTGTACTGGATTTGGAGCTCGGGTGTTGTTATATACCTCCGTCTTGGGCAAGAAGCATGGGAGAGAACGGGCTCAGGCGAGTAGACCCGGCCGCGTGACCCGGACCCCACACCTTGAATTCATGGGGTCTCCTCGGACGGATACCTCATTTCAGATCTCCTGAGCTGTAGAAGCCTCCGGTAAACAGTCTCGGAGAGTTTGGCGGATTTGCTCTGATCTGCATTTGCATACGTCCCTCAAGTTCTTCAAGGGATTATTTCGACGGATCTTCGTATCGTGCGAGACCCCGAACGGTTTCGAAAACTCGAGGGAGTTTTGTTCGGGAAGTCGTCGGTGTCGCTTCACCACGACCGCGCCGATCGACTAATCCCAGTGAAGATTCGAGACACTTCAGCGAGAACACTCAGCTCGCTCCGCATCGCGGATTCGTTGCCCATCGGACGGTGAGGCGAAAATAAGAAATCATATGGGAGTCGTTCCTAGAAATGACCAAATCCAGAAGAATGGGTATAGGTGAGGTAGTCGGGAAACGATGTACTCTTTAGGACATCTCGTCTAGATATGACGTGATTCCGAAAGCCTACCGTGGATGAATCGTCGAAGCATTTGGGAGCGTGATCAGCTCGTTATTTTCACTCCAACAGTCGGATTGCGGCACTCTACATGAGCGATGCCTGGGTCCGAAAGCATTGATGAAAGTCGGCCCCGATGGGAAATGATTAGAGTTACGATATACGGGAACAATACTTTTTTCGTCCTTTTTTCGCTCTTCTCAGTGCTCCCCGGAGAATCGAAGAATATCTGTTCTCCGGAATTTTCAAAGGAATAGCACTGATTTCGATAAGGAATTTATATTTCTCCGTTCGAGTTCGAAGTTCCTATGGCGCGAGCATAAGCCGAGGATTTGATCGGTAACGTTCTCCTCATCGAGCTCCACTGTGAACGATCGGTTATGTATACTGAATTCCAGGCGAGTTTCGCTTATAGGGCGGATAGTTTGAGATTTGAATCAACTCTATGGAACGGGTCACCAACATGAAATGCAGGACCCGCTTTGGACGTCCGATTTTCGTCACGGTGTCCGCGCGGACATCGTCTCTTCCTTGGCAGAAATGATGGAAACGATTATTCGGATATCGTGGGAAAGACATCAACAAGGATTTCTGGGTACGGATGGAGCCACATATATTTCGACCCGAACAAATCGAAGCCGCGGTAGCGGAGGTACCTTGCCGCACGCTGTGGGACGATGGGCCCTTCAAGAGGAGGAAATGTGTTCCGGCGACAGGATCGTCGCTCACTTCAAGGTCGATTCCGCCGCCGACTCCGGTACCGCTGTCTTTCTGGAGCCAGATGAGCCAACCCTGGAAGTTTGCGACGAAGACTCTTCGACGTCTGAGTGCATCGAGAGCCCCCGGGAGTTTCGATTCAACAACTCAGCGTACTGCTCCGGGGATAGCGCACGTGCTCGATGAAATTTTCGGCATCTTGAGCGGATTCCCGAAGGTTATCTTTTTAGAGATCGCTTCGATTCCGCTAAGTCCTTGATTCTCACTCTGTGGAGGTACACTCGAGCCGACAAGATCCTCGAGAGTATGGAGTTCCCGGCTACTCCGGAGAGCCCGCCAATCTTCGAAAAAATCGTGCCATGAGAGTTGGGTGTATGTCCACTTGCGAGAAAATTTCGAAGTTCAGTAGCGCAACGAATTCGCAGGGGTCTAATCGTTGGAATGGGAAGGGTGAGACGGACGAAGATTTTCAGCCTTCCGGGACTGTCTACACCGCCGAAAATTGTGGGAAACTACATTTTTCGTGAGTTCAGTACTTTACACCGGAGAAGTTCAACTGCCTCGGAATCAGAGATTAATCATGATTTCGTGCCTAGTCGAGCTGACCAGTGAGGCTCCACTCCAAAGATGTACAATTCTGCAAGTTTCGTGGGGGGAAGTCGGCAATTGACAACCTTTGATTCGAGAGCTGTTCCCAAGGCCTATCCAGTTGCTCCCTTCGACACTATGGATCAAAACCTTTAAGGAAGACTTCCGCTTCCCGAATCCGAGACCTCGATGAGCAAACTTGGCCACCGAAAGAATGGATTCCGGACTTGAACTCAGTCCGCCTGATTTCGGGTTTCCTCGCACTATTTGTCGACCCTGCGGTCGACTTCTCCCTGCACAGACTCGAGTCGCCTCATCGAGAGTGCTCAGCTCGCTTCACAGCCCATCTATCGGAAGCGGTAGTGAAGATCAGACAGCGTGTGGAATCACTGCTCAAAATGATCAGAACTCTCGAGGATCGATATAGGCACGGACGTTGAAGACATACCTCGCAGAGATACCGTGAATATAGGGGCAAACCCTAGTATCGATCACTCGAGGATCGTGACGAGCTCCTTTCATTCGTTCTCGCAGTAGAGTTCGGTTGATCAACGGGACTGATGCCTGAGCACGGTCCCATAATGATCGATGATGAGGCGAGAAGACTCGCGTTGTAGAAGACTGCCGGAATGAGGATACGTTCCGCAATCAGGTCTCAGCGACGAACAGGGCGGTACGACAGCATATCTGGGCACTACATCGGGGCCCGGAAATCTGCGATAAACCCGTGGAGGCTCTTTGGCAGTTCCCGAAACACGGAGGCTCGAGGATCGATTTGTTCCTTCTTCCGAGAACAATCTGTGCGACCTAAATCTCCGCTTCAAGCTTTTGCAGGAGGGTGGAGAATTCTTGTATTGCATCGACCAACGATCGCAGAGAATCCGCAGAAGTTGGGTCTTATAATTGATGAGAACTTTGGGGATGAGAGGGAGAGGCGTCTGTTTTTTTCAACGATTCAGCTTATTTTATTCGTTCGGTTGCTCATTGTGAATTAGTAAATACTCCTGCGATCTGAACATCTTCTATGACGGGCTGTTTCACTACCACGGGGGCCACTGGCGGCAGGACCACAACGAGAGGAGCAATGGGCGCTGGAGCGGCAGGAACGATGGGCGCTGGAGCGGCAGGAACGATGGGCGCAGGCGCCGGTGCGACGGGAGCGACGGGGGGAGGCAACACAGGAGCCACGGGAGGGGGCGCCAGAGGAGCCACGGGAGGAGGCGCCAGAGGAGCCACGGGAGGAGGCGCCAGAGGAAGCAGTGCAGCTTCCGGAAGGGCAACTGGTGGGACCACGGGCTCGTCGACAACTTTGTTCGTGTTTTGAAGGATGATCGAACTGCCTCGCCCGTGGTTCGGTGGAGGTGTGGGTGGCGGTGTGGTTGTCGGGGCGGCTGTGGTCGTTGGCAAGAAGGAGCCCAAAGTCACGGCTGCGAACACGCAGATCAATGCAATGGTCTTCATTTCTCCTGTCGTATTTCAGATCAGAGATCGAATAGCACGAGGAATCGGATGTGATTGAAGGCAGGGCGACTAGTGTACTCGATTGTGAGCTCGGGTGTTGTTATATATGTACCTCCTTCATGGGCAAGAGGCATGGGAGAGAACGGGCTTAGGCGAGTAGACCCGGCCGCGATACCCGGACCCCACACCTTGAACTTATGGGGTCTCTTCGCTGAGGGATGGATACCTGATTTCAGAACTCCCAAACTGGACAAGTCTCCGCTATCCAGTCTAATGGAATTTGAGTGAGTTCTGATGATGTGCTCCCAGATTCGTCCCCGATATCTTCGAGAGATTATTTCGACAGATCTTCGTATCGGAAAACCGCGCAAGTTCTAGAGCGGTTTCCAGCTTCCGAGAAAATTTTCTCCGGGGAGTCGTCGGTGTCGCTCCATCACGACCGCGCCGATCGACTGGTCTCAGTGAAGATTCGGGACTTTCCAGTAAGGATTCTCAGTTTGCTCCGCACTGCGGATCCACTGTCAATCGGATGTTGAGGCGAAAATACGAAATCATATAGGAGTCATTCGTTGAAATGACCGATGCACGAATCCTGGAGATTGGGTATAAGTGAGGTAGTCGGGAAACGACGTACCCATGAGGACATCCCTTGTAGATATGACGTGATTCCGATAGCCTGCCTTGGATGGTTAGTTGAAGTATTCGGGAGCGTGATCAGCTCCTTATTTTTGCACTCTATATAAGGGAGATATTTCCGTCCGTTTACCCCGCTCCCCGCTCAGAGCTCCCCGGAGAGTATCTGTTTTCCGGAATTTTCAAAGGAATAGCTCTGATTTCGATTAGGAATTCATTTTCCTCCGTTAGGGTTCGAAGTTCTTACGGCGCGAGCATGAGCCGAGGATTCGATCGGAAACGTTTTCCAAACTCTTCAATACCCATCGTCGAGATGAAGAGATGAAATTCCGATGTTTGCCGATCCCACGGCAAACGGAGACTCCATTGAGAGCTGAACGGTTCCGATCCGCTGAAAATTCTGAGCTGAGGGTCCGACTTGGGTCCGAGAGCTGATAGCCGCCATGCGCCTTAATCTGCGATCACGGACGGCGCTGGAATTCTTACGATTCGCCATCCGGCCGCGAACGAGTTCTGCCTTGCAGCGAATCGATAGTAATCT